TTTTAAAAATAATTTTGGTAATATGAATTGTAATGCATTCTGATGTCATATATAATAAATTAGAATAAAAAATTTAAATAGTAAAATAATAATTTTGAGACAATTTTAGCTGTACCCTGCTCACTTATTATTGATAAACTTGAGAGAGGGATTGATTTAGCCTCCAAAGAAATTATGTTTGTGTGTCTTTTTCTCTTTAAAAAGCACAAACTGTTCATTCTTGCTTAACAAGCACATTTAATTTGAAGCCTCCTGGTTCCGATCAGATTTTAGACAATCGATAGAGGTTCCTACTGGGCAATAAAACATGCAGGGCTGCAATCTGCCACCCGTCTGCCCTATGCACAGAGCCCATCCTGTTCCTCCTAAGGGTAATGTTGCTTATCTCTGCCATCCCTTTACCAAGTACAAAATGTATCCTGAACATTTGGTAATACATAAACCTAGATGTTCGTATTTATAGTGTTGTCAGCAAAATTTAAAAAAAAAAAGTACTGTAGAGTTCATTTTTTGCAATGTATACTCATAATTATATGAGATGCATTTTGAACATATACATGTATACTACCATTATATATAATTAATAAATTATTACTACATCTCAAAAAAAAAAAACTCAGCCATTTCTGGTTTCTGTATTTTGGGGATACTTTCTCTTGCTTGCCAAGTGTAACCTGGAGAAAAAATATCCAAATGAAGACTTGTTCTTATGTGCACAGGAGGACGAATCCCTACAAATATGGAAAATGTAGCCACACCCCTCTGGAGTATATACTACCTAAATGGGAAATCAGAAAATGAGTCTGAAATTCAAATGCTCTAATTACTGCTCTTTGGTTTTCCAATAGCACAGAATGTGACCTTCATTGCCCCAGGGTCCCTAGAAAGCTAGGCAGACTGTTCAGTCATTTGAAAACCCCAGACTCTCTATTAGTGCCCCCCCCCAGCCCCCACTCCCTTTGTTACTGTTCCAGAGTGACAATGTAGTGCCTGGGGCTACCTTGTTTGATCTGCGGCTGCAGAAACAAACAAAGCCATTTAAACCAAATGTAAAAGGTTAGGAAGAGGAAGAGAGACTTAGTGAGGTCTGAGCAAAGGGTAAAATACTGGCTTTCACACCAAAGGAAGGCTTTAAATTGAACATGACTTCAGGAAAAATCAATTTGCCTTTTTCTTTCTTGTCATAATTTCTCCCTGCAACGTGACTCTTGCCAATTATTGCAGGGCGGATCTTTGCATAAACTCTTGCACAGTGAGGCATATCCCACAGAATAATCCCATAATGCAGCATCTGTGATGTCACACTTGGTTTCCATGGTGATGAGAAAAAGAAGGAGAAGAAAAGGGGGGAAGGCTGTACCAGTGACATGACGGTTGCTTTAGGGGGAGGGGTGATGCTATTTGTAAAACTATCCTTAGTTCCAGGGTCTTCGAGTGGTCCCTGAAAGGACAGCACAGAGCAAGGGAGATGAGCTGGAGAATGTGCAGCATCCATGAGGAAGGTGTTTTGTTCAAAAACAATGTTACCACAACCATTAAAGAGAAGAGACAAAAAATCAACAACCCTGCAAATGCAAAAATTAAAATTAAAAATAAATAAATAAAGCCAGGAAGAACTGCAGTGCTACAGCTGCCCTCTACCCTTGGTCACACACCCTGGCTTTTCCCTACCTGATCTGCCATCGCGCTGAATATCCACATGGTACCATTCCCCGTCATTGGCTTTCTTCTGGGTGGCTTTCACTTTGATGGTGCCTGAGCCCATATCGAGCAGCAAGTACAGGTTGCCATCGAGAAGTTCCACAGCAAAGAAGTCAACTTTTGTGTTCTTTTGGCTTCGAGCATCCTTCCTCTCTTGGGGCTTCCCATGAGTGAAGAGGATCAGGCCGTTGGGCTCAGTGGTGCGGAAGTCAAAGGAGATAGAGCCCATTCGTTTGGTGTTCCACTTGGGCAAGCTGATGTAAGCCTCTGGGGTCTCAAAGTTGATGGGGTCCAGTGTGGCCACATTCTCACACTTGAACACAACTTCACCATAGATTTTCATTTTTGTGTCCCCAATCCGTGCCAGACGAGACAGCTCCAGACGGATGTCATTATTCTTATAAACAACCTGTCAAAAGCCAAACAAATGTGCCGTATGAATCAATCTCATGAGCAGCATCCATCCATCACTCACTGGGCACCCAGAACAAAGATTCCAGAAGAGGCTTCAGGACATAATGGTTTGAAACATGAGACACAGCCCTCAAAAACCATCCAAAGAGATATCTGGGGTGCACCTGTGCTCTGAATAGGCCTCTGCATTCCCATAATGTTTCTTTTGTCTTTCTCCTTCTGGCCAATATCTTGTATTGACAGAAAGTTATACAACATGTGTGTGCAAGTTTTACTTGCACAAGAGATTGAATTGAATGGATATAAACACTTTGATACGAAGATATTTACTGAATCCTTAGTAAAAAATCAGAAACAACCTAAATGACCATCAAAAACACATGGCACATCTTTATAATGGAATATTATGCAGCCTTTAAAATGAGATATTGCTTCTGGCTTTGACCTGAAGGCCCTCCAAGTCATATCATTAAATGAAATCAGCAAGAAACAGAACAGAATTACATTATCATTGTATAAAAATGGGGAGGGATGGAGAGAGTTATTATACATGTTCATATACGCATAAAATATCTTTGAAAAGAAGCACAAGGAACTATAAAGTTGTCCCTGGGAATTGGATTGGGAGGGAGACTTACTTTTTGCAGCATCTTCCTGTTTCATGTTTTTAAAATTATTTGCATATATTTCTTTTTTTAAAAAAAAATCATGAGTTTTTGGAGAAGAGGATCCATAATTTTTGCACATTGAGTGTGTGGTGGTAGAATGAGATAGCCTGAAACCCTGGTTCAGTCTGTTGGGGACATTTATTTAGTTGAGAGTCAGAATTAACAGAACACTGTACCCATAGTGATTTGTCCTAGAAGGGGGTCCAGCAGGGCTCTCTGCCCCTACATCCTACCCAAGGCACCAGCACAATTCTTCCTGACCATACCCATTGTCCAGAGTGGGAGACTAAGATGGGAAGGAGAGGATGCCTCACCCAGTCTCATCCTATTCCCCAAATCAGAATTTCAAAAATGTTTACTCTTATTAATATACTTATTACTCTTATGAATATATCGATAATTTACTCTTATTGATATAGCACCCTGGGACAGGTCTCAGTTTTCTGATCTTTGACAGCCAAAAGATAATATGCAGGGAGAAAAGTAGAAGAGAAAAGGACTAAACCATGAATGGGGTTTAGTATGTAATCCCTTGTTATCTCCTTTCCATTATCGTATTCAAATTCTAAGCCAGGACCCAGATTTAGGTCTAAACGCTGTGCCTACTATTTTCAAGCTAGACATCTTTGGCAAAATATACATCTTTGGCTTCTATGGGTCAGCTTCCTCCTCTGGGCATGGGACTATAAGGGTGAACTATTTTGTAAGAATAAAATCATTTAATGCACATAAACCATGTAAAAAGAGCACACAGTAAGGGCACAATGGCCTGGGCTCTTTGGGAGGAAGTGTTGGTTATCTTAATCTCATTTTATTCTTTCCACACCTCTGAGAAGCCTGCATTATCGTTTCCATTTTCAGTCTGATCAGCAAGGTCTAGGAAGCAAAATAAGTCTCACAATCTATTTCGGTGAGAGAAAAATAATCACATGAGTCCCTTCAGTTCATATCGTTTGATCCCTAACGCCCAACTAGAACAATTTCCCTTTTCTCTTCCATCACCAAGAAAGAACCAAGCTAAAATGTTTGCCTTTTTGCTAGGTATTACAAGGTTACAAGAGGGCCATATTACTAAGACAAAGCTTTAAAAACGCTTCCCCAATTATGTAACCTTGACAGTGGACTTAACCATCATCAATACCACTGAGAATAACAATGATTCCATCATTTGTTGAGCACTTACTATCAGGTGCTGTAGGTAAGATTTCTTACCTGCCAGCCCATTAAGTCCTGACAACACCCACTCCGGATACCTACAACCATCCCCTCATTTTACAGATGCAAAAGTAGACACGGGAAGTAGTTGACAAACTAGCCCATGTGCACAGAGTAGGACCAGACCCAGGTAGTGGGCTCCAGAAGCCACACTTGGAATGAGGCCTCCTCAGAAATGCTTATGAAGCTGACTGTCATCTTTGTGGAATGTCAGGCACACCCAGCTTTCTTGTTCTAGCTCCATGGGATTGGCCATGCACAAAGGGAAACTGCAGGATCCCTAGGCAGATGCTCAAGTGAGTGAACCAGAAAGGAAACAGTTTCAGGGCTTCTTCCTAAGCCCCACTATTATGCTTCAGCATGTGAGAGATCCCTGCCGTAGCCAGACTTTGGCCTTTTCTGCATTTGGGTGAAATGCCTATGAGTAGCACTCCTTGTAGAGGTTGATTATTAATGGATGATAATAGTTCATTCCAAAGGGACAGACAGAGGTTTGGCTCCATTGAACAGTAAATGGAAAGAGCACTCAGGCATCCCTACAAGGAGGCTGGGGACAGGAGGAAAGAAAAAGGCCTTTAAAAAGGATCTGAAAAGCAACGCTTCTGTGAGAAGGACACATAGGTGAATAAGCAGAATGCAGACCTCTGGAGAGATGCACAGGAGAATCAAGGGCCAGGAACTGGCCACACAGAGATAACCTGACTTCTCTCAGAGCCTTTTGGAAGGAGAGCTCTCTCTACCCGACAGCCCTGAAATGACTTGGCTGTTACACGGAGGAGTCTACACTGTGGTTAAAAACAAACAAACAAAACACCAACACCTTTCTCACTGACAGGTGTGTGATCTTTCTAAATCTCATTTTATTCATTTCCAAAAGAGGGATCCTCGATGATGACATGCTACAAATTGTCCCCTTTGTCCTCCTAGGGCTGTTGTCAAGATCAAATGGGAAGTCATATGTGGCAGAACATTGAAGATCTAAACTGGCACCCAGACCTGAAAAAAATCACAGCAAGTCTTCATCCTCCTCCGTGTTAAGACTCTGTTGGAAACTGACGGGACCCTGAAATGATGCTCCGTGAAGGATCTTCCACCAAGAGAGGCAAAGCTCTTGCAGCCCAGCAACGCTCAGCTGGAAGCTCCAGGGCTAGCATCCTCACCTTCCCCATCCACCCAGCTGTGGCCATGCAGAAGTCTACTGGCACCCTGGGCTGGTGTGCCAGGACATGGAGGCAGGAAGCCCTGCCAGACCTCCCACAGTGAATCAGTGTCTGCAGCAGTGTTCTCTGTAAAATCAGGCTCTCAATTAAATGAATGTCTCCAACCGACAGAATGAACTAGGAAGAGATGTGGCATCAAGTGACAGAAAGCAGCCTTGGCTGACAAGTTGCCCTGACAAGGAGTGATTAAAGATAAAGTGGACATGGCTTCCCAAGAGGGCAGGTGTCACAGAGCCTTGGAGGAAGAGAAGTAGAGTCACCAAGAGTGACAAGCTGGTCTTACTGCTGCACCCATAGGTTTGGAAAGACTGCTGTTTGGACTTGTAACTCATGCTCAGGAGACCAGAGAGAAAAACACTGAGGTCAGAGTCTCAAGACAAAGTCTCTCTGAATGAATATACTTGTATTTCATCACAATCCTTGATACCGAGACATATGGGAGCAATACCAGGAGTAGGGCATGCTATGACTACAGGAATATAGTAAAAATAGTTGGCACCTATGTAGAGATAGCTACTATGTGTCAGACTCTTTAAAAACACTGTTGTGTATCATTCATATTAAGTAAGTAAAATAGGTGATATTTTATAGACATGAGGCTCAGAGGGGATAGCTTCTTGTCCAAGATCACATAGCCCACTAAAGGGCATGAGCCCCTATCTGTCTCACTGCACTGGGGCAAGAATATTCTCCAGGGATGGTGGTTTCCAGGCCCTCCAGCAGCCTATTCCTACACATAAAGCTGAAACCCCTTAGTCATATACAAAAATCTCACCAAACTTCTTCGTGACATGCAAATCCCTTCACACCTGGCAAAATCTCTCTCTGTGGAATTCTTCTGTCTGCTCATTCATTGATCACCGGGAGGCCTCTGTAGGAGCACAGGTGTCAGGCATTCTGCACCTCTGCTAGCCAGGATTCCCAGGCTACAGTCCCTTCATCTCTTCTTCAACTTGTTCAAATGGTGCCCCTTGCCTAGGATGGACACCTGAATCTGTTCCAGCTCTCCCATTGCCCTAGCTGCTCTGGTACTTTCTGATCCTCACTACTTGAAAAATCAGAATTCTTTTCCATCTTTAAACAATGCCTGCGACTCATCAAGCTGTCTTTTCTATTGCCCAAGTCACTTGCCTTGACTGGAAGAAGAGACTCTTCTGGCCCTATGTGATGCACTAATTACAAAGAACTCTTCCATGACAATGGAGTTATAAGACAAGCCCATGAAAATGCCTCTAAGGGTTAGGGACAGTTCCTGCACCCAGAAGGGTTTTCTTCTCTCCTTCTTGCCTCTTATCCCAGGCTGCTCTGTTCTCAACTTCCTGAGAATATGCTTCCGGGTGTTCTGTTGTAAGGTTACACCTGTCCACACTCCTGCAAGGGAACTGGAAGGAGAGAGGAATGTGGGGATGTCCCTGGAGCACCCACAGGGCCTCTTGGCCCTATTTTACTATTGAGGAATAGGAAGGTAACCATGGGGCATTTCTTTTCTATTGTTTTTAAAGCATCTTTAATTTTCTGTGAGTCTACATATAGGACAAATAAAACCACCCAGTCAGTTTGGAAGACCAGATCATTTATAGGAGTATGATTTCACCACCACTGAGTACCATCCTGCTGGTACAAATCAATGAAGAACGTTTGAAAGGAAGGATCTTGCCGGACATTCCCTGCAGCATCTAGGATATACAGAATGGAGAAGCCACTGTCAGCCTACCTTGAATGCCGCAGGGTTGCCTGCGAATCCCAATGAAGCTTTTCAACTTCACACTAAATGCAAAGCCATTTACTCCCAATAAGCAAAAGACAAAGATAAATCTATCCTCCACCCGATTTAACCTTTGACAACAGATGATAATGAAAAGAGCTTTTTCTCTTCAGAGCACATGATGGTA